GGGGGGGGGGGGCGCAGCTCTTCCTCACCTCTCCGGGGGGCTCCCAGCGCCCCCTCACCTCTCCGGGGGCATCCTGAGCCCAAAGCTGACCCGGGGGCGGTGGTGCAGGTGCCAGGTGTGCAGGTGCCAGGAGCGTCCCCTCTCCTCCCGGGCCACCTCCCGGGCCCTCGTGGCTGCCGTGGTCGCCGTGGCCCGGAGGGTCAACGCCAGGTACGAGCGGTACCTGGAGAGGAGCTTCCCCAGGTTCTATGTCCTGTACAGCACCTTCACCTCAGGTGAGTCCTGAGGGGGAGCCCAAAAGTGGGTCCCAGGAGGTGGGACATGTCCTGCTGCTCCAGGTGGAACAGCAGCTGCAGAACCCTGGGAGTCAGTGCTCTGTCCAACAGGAATCCAGGCGCTGTTCCTGGAGGTGAAGGAGATCAGCAGGATCAGGTTCAGGATGTCCCGGCAGCGGCTGAAGGTGCAGCAGCTCCCGTACCGGGACATGGAGCGGCTGCGCCAGGTGAGCCCCCTCCCCGTGGAAAAGGGCTGGAATTCCTGGGGGATGCACCTCCTCTGCCTAAACCCAGGGATTGGGAGCTGCAGCCACCGCTGGGGCCGTGAACTGCAGGAACTCGCAGGGAGTTTGGGGGGTTTGGTGTTGGATCCTGACTCTCTCCTCCGTCTGGAGGCAGTTCCGCAGGGACGCGCTCAAGGCCATTCCCATCGGGATCATCGCCATCCCGCCCTTCGCCAACTTCCTGGTCATCGTCCTGATGTGAGTACTGGGGTCCCTGACCCTCAGATTCCAGGGAATTGGGGTTTTCAGAACGAAGAATCTGGCCACGCTCTCTCTGTCAGGAAAAATACCTGGATCCTGAGGAGCCGGGTGCTGGATTCGCTATCCCGGCTTCTGGGGCCATTGTCTCACCCAAAGAAATCATGGAATCAATTAAAATAATTTAATAAAAGAACTGTCAGAGACACCCTCCCTGGAGTGTTCTCGGCCAGGGGCACCTCCATGCACAATCCCTCGGAGTGTCCCTGTCCCCGCCAGCTCTTCCGGAACCAGGGGTAAATCCCTGCTAAATCCTGGGATTTTGCAGCTCTGCTGCTCCCCCTGGGGCTCCCGGTCCTGGTTGATGTCCTTGTCTGTGGCCTCAGCTCACAGGGGACACAAGGGAAGGCTCTGTAGGGGCTGGGCTGGATCTGTGGGATCAGTGGGATCAGGCTGATGGGGTGAGGTCCTACCCTGGGCTCCCCACGGCCCCATGGAATAAAATGGAACACTCCAGGCTGGGGGCAGAACGGGAAAGGACCTGGGGGGGGCTGGACGTGAGGCCACAGGCCCCTGGCTTGTGTCAGCCACAGCTTGGGGATGCGGCCAGCGTGGCCTTGGCAGTGCCCAGGGCTTTCCTTGGCCTCCTCCCACAGCCCAGACCCCACCTGCCCCGTGCCCCCTGCGCCATTCCCTCCCTCACTCCCTCTCTCCTCTCTCACCCCAGGTATTTCTTCCCACGGCAGCTCTTGATCCGCTACTTCTGGACGCCGCAGCAGCAGCTGGAATTCCTGGATGTCTATGATTCCATCCGGAGGGACTCGTACCCGGCCGTGGTGCAGAGCCTGGCGCTGGCAGCACAGACCCTGCCCGAGCCCCGGCCCCGGGAGCTCCTGCAGCAGCTCTGCTCCCAGGTACATCCCCCTGGGTCACCCCGGCACCCCTCGGGGGGTTGGCACCTGTCAGAGGTGTCACCTGCCCTCCCGGGGCTCTTGCAGGTGCAGGGAGGTGCCCGGCCCCGCCTGGCCCAGCTCTTGGCCGTCAGGAGTTTGTTCTCGGGGGCTCCACTGGTGCTGAACAGGCTCCAGGTGGATCACGTGGTGAGTCCGGCTCAGTGCAGGTGCTGCCCCGCTCAGGTGTGCCCCAAACTGGGGGCTGTGCCCCAAAACCAGTCCACGTGTGGGTGAAAAGCTGGACAGGTGGCCCTGAAATCCCCCCCCATATCCTGGGCTTGTCCCCATCCCGTGGGCAGCGGGTGAGGGAGGCTCAGGTGAGACCCCACCTGCAGCGCTGCCTCCAGCTCCCAACATCAGGAGAACACGGAGCTGCTGTGAGTGAACCCAGAGGAGGATTTTTGCAAGGAATTCCTCCCTGTGAAGGTGGGGAGGCACTGGGTGGGATTTCCCAGGGAATGCCGGGCTGGATGGGCCCCCCGGGGGGGTGGCAGTGCCGTGGGTCCCACCCCTGTGTCAGGAGGGGTTGGATATCACCCAGGTGACCTTCCCCTGTGTCTTGCAGAGGGCCCTGAGCCGGGTGCTGTTCCTGACCCCCCACTTACCGGCCGTTCTCCTGCGGCATCGCCTGCTCAGCCACGTCCTGGAGATCCGGCACCTGGACCGGGCCCTGCTGGGGCTGGGGCTGGGGCAGCTCTCTGAGGAGGAGCTGCGAGCGGTGAGGACCCTCAGCACCCCCGGCCCGGGGCTGTGTCACCCCACGTGTCACCTTGGGGCACAGGGGGGTCCCCCAGACCCACCCTGGGTGGGTGGCAGTTCCCCTCTCCTGGGAAGGTGTTCTCCCAGACTGGGATCACACCTGGAACCACACCCGGGCCCCTCCTCGTGCCACGGCAGGATCCTGGTGTGATGCTGGTGCTCCACATGCCCACCCCGACCATCTGTGTCTCCCCAGGCCTGTTACCTGCGTGGGCTCAACTCCACCCACCTGGGCCGGGCCGAGTGCCGGGCGTGGCTGGAGCAGTGGCTGCAGCTCTCCTGTGAGCTCCAAGGTACCTGCTGGGGGGACACTCACACAGGGGGGCCCCCCCGGGCTTCTCTGGGCACAGGGAGTGTCACTCCTGTGGAATTCCGGGGTGACAGGGGCACTTTGTCCCACTCTGGGCTGCCAGGTGTGCCTGTCCCACAGAGCTCCGGTGGCAGATTCCATCCCCAGGGGAAAGAAAATGGGAATGGGAGGGAAGTGGGGTGCCCCCATGCCCATCCCAGTGCTCCCAGTCTTCCCAATTCTCATCCCAGTGCTCCCCTAGTGCCCATCCCAGTGCTCCCAGTCT